CTTTCTCCTACGAATAGACAATTTATGACTGTATAGTTGGCTGTGGAACTATTGATACGCCTTCTGAAATGTCCTCAGTTAATTAAGGCATATCAACTTTTTATGGCCAAAAGTGACTCCCCATCTTACCCTGCAAGAATGTTCCTCCTCTGCTTCTCCCTGTTCTGATAAGAGGATCAATTTATCCACCAGATCCCTCCAAGTCAGAACGTGGATTTCATTTTTGCTGCTCCTCTCTCTTCAGCCAACTCAAATATCCATTCAATCTCCAATCCCCATTGATATTTTAAGATAATTTTATTATGAAAAATTTAAAATATAGAAAAGCAAAATATGATATAAAAATTTGTATGTAGCCATCACTTGTTTAATCCTACCCTCTTTTCTTTATCTTCTCCAAATCACTGACTCGTAACACCTAAATATGTCTGAAATATTCCCTACTTCTTTCTCCTTGTTTCTGCTTTGGTTAGTTCCTCAAGTCTTCTAGTGTTCTACCAGAGCTACTTGGGCCTTAGTTTTCTTTATACTTGAAAATGTGTTTGGAAACTAAAATCCAATCATATTTATCCACTACATAAAATCTGTTGATGGACATCCTTTACCCACTGGATATAATTCCAAATTCTTGGCAAGCATTTTCTCGGTTTCAGCCATGCCTACCTGCACAGATTCTTGCCCTGAAGCCTCATGCCCAGTGTCTGACAGTACAATTCTCCTCTAAATTATTCTGTTCCTGCAGGCCTCCAGGCATTTAGGTAAACTTTTTCCTTTGCCTGATTGGATTGTGGGGACCCCTTTTGTTTGTCTAAACTCTTGCTTATACTTCAGTACCTGACTCCAAACATCACTTCCTTTTCTAATACTTCTCTGTCAATAATCTTTACACTTTGATCTTGCAAATGACCTGAGGAAGCTGTTTTCTACCAGTTGCCACTGTACTACTAAATACCTCTTTTATTTTTGACACACACTACAGTCTAATAATTTGGATGTTGGTACATCATCTCCAGTAGCTATGGATACCTTTAAGTTAGGAGCTGTGTGTATGCCTGTGTCTTGCTGTGCTTAACTCAGTGTGTCAGAGGTGAACCAGGAAGAATTTTTTCTCAGAGAATACCAAATATTTTTCCTTATTAGAACAATTTGATAACATTTTAAAATATATCTCCAATATAATCGTATTTTAAAGAATTTTTCAAGGGACATCTTAATCTAAGTAGTTATTTTACAATCCACCAAAATTATACAGTGAGTTACAGGGATTAGGTAGTATAACTGGTGAACTGATTTGAACATTAGAAATAAGAGTGCCCAAGAAGCAGACTTTTATTTTTCTATATTATACCCATCCAGAGAAACTTTCTCCTTGAAGATTAATTATTATGAAGTTAGACCCTGGAAAGTTTAAGGCAATTTAAATAATTCATTTTATATATTACTTCACAAAGATAATTTCTTGCCTATCTCCACTATCTTGAGGGAAGGGAGAGGTTACTTTCAGATAAGTGGTATTTTACCGAACAAGATTTGAGTTGGACCATTAGGGAATTTGTCCATATCATATATCCAGCCCAGAAGATAGGGAGGTAGATAAGGAAATATTTTTCTTTCCAAATTCTTGATAAGAAAGCAAAGAGGTCAAGCGCTCAAAACCATGCAGCAGGAAGAGACACAAATATTAATAGCAACTTTTGTTTTTTTCTACCTGTTAATGTAGTACCCAAGACCAGTAACAATGTTTTAGAGTTAAGCAACATATTGGCAAGTTAATATTTTACAAACAGTCAGTTAGGTGATATAAAGTGGTTCATTTTCTTGGACTCCAACCAATACCTCAGACCTCATGAGTTCTTTTTCTCTATATTTTTGCATATCATTTTTGCAGCTATAGCCCACAAGGGATACAATCCTCATCGTCCTCTATATTACCAATAACTGATATGAGAGCCAATTTCTTTTAAAGTTTAATATCAACTTCTCCCAGTATGCCATGAATGGAGTCAAATTTAAAGATAAAAATGAAAACTTTTATTTTAATAAAAACTCAATTATATGCTTCTGTGTTAACTTGCCTTTAGAATGTGAACTCTGACAGCAGGGCACAGATCCTGACTTTTTGATTAATTTTTACTTATTTCCCAGTATAGACATATTCACTTTTGGGAACTGGGAAACTCCATAAATATGTGAGTAACTGAATGATTGAATCAAACCTAATATGGTTCAACTATTTTGCTTATTTTCAATTTGTGAGCCACTCTCAGTTAATTTTAAGAAACTAATTTCTATTTTATGCATACATAGACATACATATCTACTTTTTGAGTATATATAGCCATATATAGTTGCATCATATATTTATTTATACAAAATAGGTAAATTAATTAAATACATACATGTTAATAAAGTATTTTCAGCATTTTGTAGAAGACCATTCACAATTTTTCTTACTTTATTGCCCTATTTCAGCAATTTTTCTCTCTTCCTCCTACCTCCATATGTTGTGCTTTAGGGGCATTTGACAAGTGCCTGGCGAAATGCTAAATCTAAACACAGAGTCTTAAATATGCTTTAAAATTTTTTTTTAATTTTAAATTTTTTAAGTGAGTGTGTACTTACTGGTACGACAAGCTACACAACACCACTTTCTATTGCCTGGTTCTGATGGAATCAAACTTTTACATTACTTGCCTGGCCTATAGAAACTTTTGATAACTCAACCTTCTTTGTTCTTTCATATCTCAAAGTTGTTAGTCTCCAGGAGAAGCTCAAAATTCTTCCTTTGCTGCTCTGCTCTTCTGTCTTCCCAATAATAAATCAGCTCAAATGCTAGGGATTAAAATTTTCAAGGGAATTTGAGATTCCCTCTCAACCTGCCAGGAAGGTATCTATGGTAAAATAAAAAGCGATCTGATGCCGCAAAGAAGAAACTCTTAGATATGATGCCTGGGCTCCGTCTGCTCTATTTTTTCTCATCAGTTAAAGATAGTAATACCTACCTTCTAGAGCTTCTATAAAGCATTAAGCTAATTAATATTTATAAAACATTTAGAATATATCTTCAACTTTTAGTGATTACTATATGTGAGCAATAGCCAGTATATGAATTAAATGTTACACAACTCACCCTTTAAAAAGAAATTAAGCCTGGTTTGAATAAAATGAAGAATAAAGATTCCAGACATTTTTCAAACCTGACTTGTTTTTACAATTCCCCTATGATTTCTCTCTGTGCTCCCCAATTAGGCTCCTTACAATCTTCAGAATATCCCAGTCACTTTTCTGCCTGCACTTTTGTCCAAAATTTTTTATTCCTTTAGTTTCCTTTCTTCGTCTCTTTCTCTCTAATACTTACCTATCCTATATTCTCCAGTTTTAGTCTATCGGTTTTCTAGGGCTGCCATAAAAAATTATGACCACATTAGTGGCTTAAAATGTCAGAAATTTTTTTTTTTAATTTATTTATTATTATTATACTTTAAGTTGTAGGGTACATGTGCATAACGTGCAGGTTTGTTACATATGTATACTTGTGCCATGTTGCTGTGCTGCACCCATCAACTCGTCATTTACATCAGGTATAACTCCCAATGCAGTCCCTCCCCCCCTCCCCCCTCCCCATGATAGGCCCCGGTGTGTGATGTTCCCCTTCCTGAGTCCAAGTGATCTCATTGTTCAGTTCCCACCTATGAGTGAGAACATGCGGTGTTTGGTTTTCTGTTCTTGTGATAGTTTGCTAAGAATGATGGTTTCCAGCTGCATCCATGTCCCTACAAAGGACACAAACTCATCCTTTTTTATGGCTGCATAGTATTCCATGGTGTATATGTGCAAAACAAACAACCCCATCAAAAATATCAGAAATTTATTCTCTCACAGTTCTGGAGGCTAAAAGTCTAAAATCAAGGTGTCAGCAGAACCATGCTGCTTCAAAAACGTAAAAACATCTAGGGAAGAATCCTTCTTTGCCCCCTCTAACTTTTGTGGTTGCCAGCTATCCTTGTCATTCTTTGACTTGCAGTTACATCTTTTAATCTCTGCCTCTGTCTTCACAAAGTCATCTCTTCTGTGTCTCTATGTCCAAATTTCCCTCCTTTTGTAAGGATGTCAATCATTGAATTACACACCATAATCAAGTCTGACCTTGTTTTTCTTTAATTACATATCCAAAGGGCCTATTTCAAACAATGTCACATTCATAGACACCTTGGGGTTGGGACTTGAGTTATGTTTTTTAACCCACAACAGGGTTTCATGTCACTGGAAAATATTCTCCCCCAGACCATTATGATAATCTCTAAGCAGCACATATATTCCAATCAATTTATTTAACAGATAATATAAATTTGCCTTCTGATATTTAAAAAGGGGTTATGAATCTTTGTCGTCCCTGATAAATTATATTGTAAGAGTATAAAGGTAAAGACTGTATTATTTACTTTTTAATTTATTGTATTGTATACTCTTCTGTGGACCAATATAATGCATATAGTTGTAAATAAATGCCTTAATGAATACATGAAAAGATTGCATGCTGAGTAATGCAAATTTTTTCTGTGGAACAATGGATGAAAATAAATAATACATGATAAGAACATGTCAATTTGTAATTTCTGATTTTTCATTTTTAATTTATATTGTGCTTTTGATGGATTATAAAGAGTACTATAAATTCAAAATGAGCATATATTTGTTGACATGGTTATAATTAAATTACATATAAAAATTTGAAAGATATTGCCACATAGATTTAATAGTTACATCTAGTGTTTTAAAGTAAGAGATCCTATTTTGCTTTGGAAATACAAAGAAGATCTCATATTATAAACAAGAAGAAGACAAGTGTGGAATACGGATTCTTTAGTACTAAGGTTTGTAGATATAAACATTATATACCTTAAACTATTTAACAGTAAAAATTCCAAAATACTGATGGAAAATAGTCGGAATTTATGTCAATTCTATAAAAATAATCTTTTAAATTGATATGCCAACAGATGATAATGAATGTGGAAATTTAACTCAGTCCTGTGGTGAAAATGCTAATTGCACTAACACAGAAGGAAGTTATTATTGTATGTGTGTACCTGGCTTCAGATCCAGCAGTAACCAAGACAGGTTTATCACTAATGATGGAACCATCTGCATAGGTAAGTTCGGTTATCTAAGTTAGAATTTGCACATATCTCTTATTGTTTATTACCCCCAGAGGTAAAACATATTCAAACCAAATTCTGCCAGACCTTGATTGTACCCTAGGTGTTAAGTACTTTCAGAAATTTACTTAATGTCTTTATTTCTCCAGTGTGTTAAAGGCTATGGGATATTTATCCGAGGATACAGGAAAAAGGCTTTTTTTTAATTTTTGAGAGAATAAGTTTGCAAAAATATAAAATAATAGAGAGAGAAATGCTCATGGAGCCTTGAGATCTAGTATAGTGGCAAACAACAGAATAAATGTTTATACTTTAGAATAATTTAATACTTCAAGAAAATTGTCATTTGCATTAAAAGATATTGATGCCTTTGGAAATACGCACCCTGTGATGGGTTCTACATATTTTTCAGACAATTATCATTTATAAAATAATTGTTCTAGTGGTTTTATCTCTGCTTTGATAAAAGTCACACTTCAGATACGCATTAAGTTTTTCTGAACACTATAGTCAGAAAATTATTTATAAAATCATGTAGGGTCACGAAAACATCCTTTGTAGGAAAAATAATTTCAATGTAATTTTTAAGTGATTGTTCACTTATTGTGGGTCTAAAGGGAGGACCTAGACGATTTTTAAAAATATCCTTCTGTTGTAATTTGGTCATGCATGTGATTGATCAGATCCTAGAGAATTGGATTCCAGACTGAGAAAAAATAATTATTTACAAACTTCAACAGATAAATAATTTTCAGAAGCGAATTCTCTGGAGCCAAAGACTTTAACTTTGAAAATAAATTTTAAATCATCTTAAGCATGGTTTCCAAAAAATATTCAACTCATCAATAACTATTATAATTAATTATGATTGGTAATCTACAAAATTAATAGGTATGCAGAGGCCCTGAGAATGTAATCATGTAGCCAAGGTTAGACATGGGAATAGAATTCAGGAACCTACATGCAACATAGAGAAGGCTAATGTGCTGCTTCTAAATTATATAGCTAGATAAAAGAGATGATATTCAAGTTAATCTCGATCACACTAAAGCCTTTGATTAGTGTCCTAGTCTCGCTCTGTCACCCAGGCTGGAGTGCAGTCGTGGGATCTTGGCTCACTGCAACCTCCGCCTCCCAGGTTCAAGCAGTTCTCCTTCCTCGGCCTCCCAGGTAGCTGGGACTACAGGTGCATGCCGCCACACCTGGCTAATTTTTTGTATTTTAGTAGAAATAGGGTTTTACCTTGTTGCCCAGGCTGGTCTCAAACTCCTGAGCTCAGGCAATCTGCCCGCCTCGGTCTCTTGAAATGCTAGGATGGTAAGCTATGAGACAATATTCAAAATATGTATATGCGAAATGTCTGTATTAAAGAAATCATCCAGTCTCATGTACCCACGCTTCACAACAGTTACTCTGCTATGTAAAAAGAGGAAGATTTTATTTTCCTCATTTTATTGCCAATGAAGTGAAGGGCTACTCTAGATTCACACATTTTGGATAAAGGTAAGGTTAGACTCACAGTTTTGTATCTAAAAACTCTTCGTTATTTCCATGGAATACTTAAATGTGTAGTAGACCATTTAAATATCTCTTTGATCTGAATCATCCAGACACACTGGATCAAACTTTGCAAGGGTATAAAATATTTAAACATATGAGAAAATAATGCTATTACTGTTGAATGGTAAATTTACCTTTAGTGTTTCTAGAGAAAAGTTTTATTGCAATATAGCATAATAACATACTCAGGAAATAGGAATCAATGAGATTCTGCCCAGAAAACTTACAGTACTTCACCGTTTGTTCTTCTCAAGCCTATATTATTGTTATAGTCTTAGAATGTCATATAATGTGCTTTTTACCTTTAGTAGTTCAGTTCTAATATGTAGCCCTGCAAACTTTAGTGGAAATGTTCCAGTCAGTGAAGAAGTCTAACATGTAACAACTTAATCACAGTAATTTAATACAGTTTTAACTTTGCTCTCCATTCCCTAATGTCTCTTGTTTGTAGAATACATCTGTCTTTTTATTTGATCATGTTTACTTTTAATAATTCTCAACTCACAAAGGGTTATATTTCTCTGTTCATGTTCCTTGAAGTAGAGAATTTCTGCACTAGAAAACACTGAATCATAGATACAGAGAAAACACAAACACACAAAGATGACTGAATGGCAACATTTTATGGGGGTAGTATATTTGTAATTGAAGACTCTTTCTCTTGATATTCAATTTCTATTGCAGTAAGGTGGAATGGGCCTAAGTTTGTGCTAATTCCCTTTTTAGCTATTTTAAGTAGTCGGCAAATGCACTAACCTTATTAAAGCCTAATGCCCAATATTGAGCCCTTCTGTTTCTACCTGTTTTTTTTTTGTTTTTTTTTTTTTGATGGATTATTCAGTGAAAAACTCGTTCTCTAGAAAAATGTTATTTCTCATCAATTTTTGTTGTCCTTAAGGATTAAGCTTTTTTGAGAAGCAGTGTAGCTATTTCGTTTTATTTCAGTCCTGCAGTAATTTTTGTTGCACAATATCATAATCCTCAGGGAATCTGAACAGAGAAACATGAATCTATTTCCTTTTGCATTAGTGTATCACCTTACAGTGTATTGCTTCTGATTTGAAATTTTAGCTTATCCTTAAATTTGACATTTCTGGTAATTATAGTCATTAAAATCTCTATGAATAAAAAATGGAAAACTTTGATATAGGGCAAGACATGACTCAAGCAAAATTCTTTACCTTTAGTCCATATTCAAATACTGTTTTCCACACATAAGGTCATTTTGCTGCAGAAGGCACTGGGTGAGATTTAGCACTGCACATATTTCTCCTCCCCTTGGAATCACAGTAAAACAGAACTTCGGAAGTCCAGCTCCTGAGAAACCTACTTACACACCAGAATTTCACAAATGGGAAAGTTGAGACATCCAATAGTAAAGTTAATCTGCTGAAACCAAATTAATAGAAGCCATGAATTCCTTCAATTTCACCATGTCTTTTACAGCATTGTTTACTGCTTGTCATGTCCTACTGCCTGGAGTACTCTATGATAATTGTAGATTTTTTTTTCTAGCTTTGAATAATATTAAATTTTGTCTTTGAAAATTATTTACTATAATTGAACATTTTATCTTTCTTTGGCAGTCTGTGAGTTACACATTAGAAAACTCTATTATTGATCATAATAAGAATCATAGCCATCATATGATCATGTTTTGAAAGATTATGATAAAATTTGCTGGATTGGCTAATTATACACATGAAAAAACATAACATTATTATCATCATTATTATTATCATTATTTTTGAGCTGAGGTCTCACTCTGTTCCCCAGGCTGGAGTGCATTGGTGCAGTTATGGTTCACTGCAACCTGGAACTTCTGGGCTCAAGTGACCTTTCTGTATCAGCTTCCCAAATAGCTGGGACTACACTCCACAACACCCTGTCTGACTAATTTTTAAAGTTTTTTTAGTAGAGAGAGGATCTTGCTATGTTGCCCAGCCTGGTCTCAAACTCCTGGAATCAAGTGATTCTGCTGTCTCGGCCTCCTAAAGTGCTGGGATTACAGGTGTGAGCCACTATGCACAACCAAGCATCACCTGTTAACAGAAATGTTGCAAATGAGTTAAGATTGTTAATGATATGCTTGCATTTAGTGATATCAAATTGTTAATTTAAAATCAAATTGTAAGTTGGTCGTGAGGAAAGTGGGTCAATCAGTAAATCAGGTCTGTCAAATCTAGCCGGACTTAAATAATTACCTAACAGAGATTTAGCTTTCATTATGATAGGAAAGAGGTTCTTTTTTTATAGATTTGGAGATTACCAAGATATGGTAACCTAAAAGAAAACACTCTTTATTTATCTGTATCTTAAAACATACTACACAAAGCTCCTGCTATTAGGAAAATATGCAATATGAGTAGAATCACCAGTCCTGATTTTCCAGTTACAGTATCAGGTGGCAATGATATCCTAGGCACTATTCCACCTTCCCATACATTTTCTTGTTTTTTTATGAGGTAGAACTCTTTTGGGTTAGAAGCTGTCTTCTTTTTGAGACGGAGTCTGGCTCTGTCGTCCAGGCTGGAGTGCAGTGGCGTGATCCGGGCTCACTGCAAGCCCTGCCTCCCGGGTTCACGCCATTCTCCTGCCTCAGCCTCCCGAGTAGCTGGGACTACAGGTGCCCGCCACCACGCCGTAATTTTTTTTGTATTTTTAGTAGAGACGGGGTTTCACCATGTTAGCCAGGATTGTCTCGATCTCCTGACCTCGTGATCCGTCTGCCTCGGCCTCCCAAAGTGCTGGGATTATAGGCGTGAGCCACCACGCCCGGCCTAGAAGGTGTCTTTTTAAGATATTACCCAAGGTCATCACACAACCAATTAATGTTATAGTCAATATTTGAATTTAGATCTTCTAATTAGCAATCCCAGAGACTTTTCCTTCAAGAAAGAGGTAACTGTAGGTTTTAGCCATTTGGACCTGCAAGAGATTGCAAGAGAAATTAGTGTGGATCTTGCTGCAAAATGTAGCCATTTGGCACATTCATTGTAGCCAAGCCAGTTTCACTGGACATTAAAGTCCAAAGTGCAAGAAGGAGGATGGAAATTGAGTTCCTGGAGTCAAGATTTTTATGTTTCTCAGAGATTGGGTTTGGGATGAAGTTTCTAAGAACGTTACACATTTAAAGGATTTGAAATTGAGAAAAATCACCATCTTGTTTACTGTTACCCATAGAAGGCATCTCACCTACAAAACAAAGGTATTCAAAGAACATAGTAGTTTTCTTGCTCATTAAATAAATTTTTTTATTGTTGTTTATGATACTTCATGGGTCTGTTCACACTTTCATTGGGGTGTTTTCCCAGTTGGAGTATAACATTTGGTGCTTCAACAGTTCAGCTCCAATAAAGACTCATCTTTGCTTTAGTCTTATATAGTTTTCTCACTTCATTGATTTCATGACAAATGACCACCCTAGTCTGCACTACCGTCTGAGTGCTTCTGTCTTCAGCTCAGCCTAGAATGCTTTCCTTGATGGTTCTCCACATCCCAAGGTCACTTGTCACTACTTGTTCCCTACTTCATTTTCTGTTCATTCATTTTTGTGGAGTGGTAGGTCCTGAATACACCTAGAAATGAGAGGATGAGGGATGAGGGGTGGTACAAGAGCATTTGTGTTTCTTTAGAAGTGGTGAGCTCAGATTTCTGGGTAGTACAGATTTTGAATACATATACTTGTCAGAAGAACAAGAGCTGTTCTAACCTTTTAGGCCTGGCCTATTAGCTGACCTTGTAAATCTAGTACCATCACCTTTCTAGTGAATGGAACTTTCTTTAAGAATCTAGCAAGAGGCTCACTTTCAATTTTTGGTTTTGGTGGTGCGAATTTGGATGCGTTTTCTAGATCTTTGTTGGATTTTTGAATGAGAAATAGGAACAGCTGCATTTAAGATAACTAGTTAGATGACATTTTAAATTAGACTTTGATTACACACCCTTTTTCTACTGCAAAGAGTATTATGACACCCTATTAGTTTTAAATCAAATTATAAATTTAAGGTTAGATGTTCATTTATTAATTTAATATAAAGTATCTTGAAGATGTCAGACCTGGGGTAGAAACATAAAAATTTTGCATTAATTCAAGGTAATGATCTAGACTCTTCAGTTCCTTAGAATCTTTTTCTCTAGTAGCAGATTATTTATACTCTATTTATAATGTAAAGCATATTTCACTGTGGTAAGTAAAGTTTTAAGTTAAGAATATAAACTATGTAAGCTTAAAACCTAGGGCCTTTGTTACAGCCTCAATACTTGGCTTTTGAGAATGTAAGACTTAATTCTGTATAATGTATTATTTTATTTATGATGATTGTGTGTTAAGAACCGTAGTAAAATATAACCTGAACAAAAGTAATAAGTTGTGATAAAATTTTAAGGGAATTCAATCACACATTCTGCTACATCTTAGTTTTTTAGATTAACTTACATGCAAAAATGAAGTTTTGGAAAGAAATTGGGTCACTCTTCTGTCCTCCAGATTACACTGAGTTGTTGAAGTCAGTTTAGTTTGATACTAGAAAACAAATAAGTTTAAATGTGTTTCTTAAGTTGGGTCTTTGTTAAATTAGAACTAAGTGTTACATCATCAATGATGGAAATTGCTGTAATGACTTTGTTGATTAATCATGCAATTCAATCTGAGAGTATGGCCCATGAATAATATTTTCAATATTCTCTCAAAATTGATTGGAGGAATTAAATCTAAAAAGTACATGCAGCTAAGTTTGTTATGCCATTGTCTAAATGATGGTATTTCTCTAACTTTCTTATAAAATTTGACATGAAACCACTAATCATAAGTAACACTATTTTCAACAAGTTAGCAGGTATATAAGCACTAAAAAATTTTTTTTCAAATATTAATATTTCCAGATATAGATGAGTGCAGTGAGTCAGTTGTCTGTGGTGATCATGCCATATGGGGAAATGTGAATGGTGGGTATAACTGCTCCTGCAAAGAAGGTTATCAGACATATACAGGAAAATCACAGTTCATACCTAATGATGGCACTTACTGCCAATGTAAATTACATTATTAAATTTTATGTGTGATCAAAGAACTATATAAAATATGTAGTACACAGTTGTGAAGTACCACAGAGCTACAGCTTCCAAGAAATGTGCCTGCATTCCTTTATGTTCTATGGAATAAAGAAATGAAAGCCTGTTTTTTTTAATTTAATCAAAATTGTAGATAGCATTTTATGGAACTAACATTCCTTGGTCCTTAAAACTCCTTTATTTCATTGTCTGTAAAATATTGCACATTCTAAAACTGAAGAGGAAATTCAAGTGTTAGAGAATGTCCTTTTAATATTTAAATAAGTGAGCAAGATCATTGGGATTTATATGATGAGCTTAGGCAAAAATACTTTTTAAAACTTACTATCTAATCTGGTTTTTTCCTACAGAAAATGTGAATGCAAACTGCCATTTAGATAATGTCTGTATTGCTGCAAATATTAATAAAACTTTAACAAAAGTAAGTAGAACAGTTAACAATTTATTTTATTTGGACATTTTGATTTCAATTAAAATACTTTCAATGTCACACATTTCAAGAAGAGTAACCAGTAGCTGAACTTTAAGGAGGGTTGAAAACGTTTACATATAGAGATCTAAGCATCATGTTTGCATCAAAGACAGGGTTAATTTGAAAATCCCCAAATTATTTAAAAGGCCTTTTACATATTTAATATGCTACATTTTCATTACTCCATATGTTGGGAAATTCTTTTTATGTAAAAAAGTTGATTGAAAAATAGTGAAGAGATACTTTGACTCTAGACCCATTCCCACATTCTAAGTAGACATAATTGAATGCACCTAGATTTGGTACTTAAAAGAGAACATTTCAAAGAGCAAATAAAGTAGGTGATTTATAAAATAATTGTCATATGATTGAGAATGTGAATCTCAACATGAGTAATCAACTATCAGTTTAAAGCAAATTTTCATTTAATCACATTGTAAAGAGTTTTCTTTGGTTGATTAAAATCTAATTTAAAGTATTATCATTTATTGCTTAGGATATCAATATTTATAAGTACTAAGGAGTTCAAGTATTAAGGTAGATTCATTGGCTAGAATATAATTCTATACTGAAGAATAGGAAGTTATTTTGAAGACTCATTTTTAAAAAATTATTAATTCAAATATGCTCTGTTTCTTTTCTAAAGTAAAGTCTATGCTTTTAAGTTATTTGCTAATCTCTTGTAAATAAATTCAGGTTTCAGTGATGCATGTTATGGTTTAGGTTTATTAGTTTGATATTATTTATGTGTAGACCGAGAAAACCAACTCAGAATAAATTTAACATATAAGTTTTATTCTTTTAAAACTCCAGTAGAACTAATTTAGTTTCCTTTTTCTGGACTCATTTTTTTGCTCAGATCAGACCCATAAAAGAACCTGTGGCTTTGCTACGAGAAGTCTATAGAAATTCTGTGACAGATCTTTCACCAACAGATATAATTACATATATAGAAATATTAGCTGAATCATCTTCATTACTAGGTTATAAGAACAACACTATCTCAGCCAAGGACACCCTTTCTAATTCAACTCTTACTGTAAGTATGTTCAGCTTCAACTCTTAATATAATTGGGCTTTGAATTTTTCCTTTCATCTGTGATTAGTGTAGGATTCTAACGTTTCTAAAAGACATGCTTTTTTTCAATAGGAATTGGTGAAAACCGTGAATAATTTTGTTCAAAGGGATACATTTGTAGTTTGGGACAAGTTATCTGTGAATCATAGGAGAACACATCTTACAAAACTCATGCACACTGTTGAACGAGCTACCTTAAGGCTATCCCAGAGCTTCCAAAAGACCACTCAGTTTGATACCAATTCAACGGATATAGGTAAGAAACAAGGGTCCATTTCAAAGTAATCGTGTTTTCCAAATAAGCCATTTTCAAAGTCTTGGGTGGGGGTTAGGAGGCATGGTGTTGAAACTAGTACTGATTACATTGAAAGTAGTTTTATTAGTGTAGAAATGAATGGTGATGCATACTGCAAGAGCACTGTGAATAAAGTACTAGTAAAAAGGATAAATCCACAAGTGTTGTCTCCTTCCTATCATGTCCACCTTTTCTGATTCCTGAACTGTACAGCCATCAAATGGTCAGAGTACATTACTCCTTTGTCATTTTGAGTCCGTCATCTCATGACTTGTCAGGGTCTACCTTGACCAACGAATTTTTGGATATTGTTTGTTTGTTTATTTGTTATTTTGAGACAAAGTCTGGCTCTGTCACCCAGGCTGGAGTGCAGTGGCGCAATCTCAGCTCACTGCAACCTCCACCTTCTGGTTTCAAGCAATTCTCCTGCCTCAGCCTCCCGACTTGCTGGGATTGCAGGTGTGTGTTACCACGCCTGGCTAAGTTTTGTTCTTTTGGTAGAGATAGGGTTTCACCATGTTGGTCAGGCTGGTCTCGAACCCCTGACCTCAAGCCGTCCACTTGCCTCGGTCTCCTAAACTGCTGGGATTACAGGCATGAGCCACCATGCCCAGCCGGATATAACACATTTAAACTTCTATTTTTGAATCCTTTGCATGTTGATAATATAAAGCAATCAACATAGCAAATTAGAATGTTTCTTGCTTCATGCAAATTCATACCTAAAATATTCAGAATCTTGTGTCAAATTGAGGATGCCTATAAAGGTTTTCCGAGGAAGCAAGGTAAGTTTGCTAAAATAATCACTGCATACATCTATACTGCATTTTCTGAGTGGCATTCTGCTGTGCAACCGCAGATTTACAAAAATCTCATCAGGATTCATCATTTACTCTAAATCAAAGTTTCAAGGATTGTGACTAATATGTAAGTGCTCTATATTTTTATAATGTTTCTGCATGAAAATGGTGATAATACAGCAGGTCAAAGGAATTATCACTCAAACATTTAATTAAATCACTCATTAGTGAGTTATAGACACTATTCTGTAAGACATTGTAGTTGCTTATCTTTGCTTTAGTAATTGTAATTTTACAGCTTCCTTGGTTACATACACATATTATATTTTATTTAATTCAAAAAAAAAGTTAAACCATGAGTGCCATAGTGAAATTAAAAAATTAAAACTTGAGTCAGATTTTTAACACATATATTACATTGTCCAAACATGTTAAGAATATGTTCACTCTACCTGCTATAAATAAGTTGAAACACAATAATGATGGATGAAATTATCTCTAAGCTAATATATTTACCATGTATATTGATTAAACTAATTTCAGGGTTTTTTGTTTTCATGGTTTTGTTTCAGCTCTCAAAGTTTTCTTTATTGATTCGTCTAAAATGAAACATATTCATCCTCGTATGAATGTGGACGGAGATTATATAAATATATTTCCAAAGAGAAAAGCTGCATATAATTCAAATGGTAGGACTTTAACAATCTAACAGACAATATATCAGTGAATTTGCAATAAATACTTATGCATTTGATTATGTCATATGTACATGGAACAGGTATGGTTTCCTATAAAAACATATGATGTATGTACAGTATACAGAATATCCATATTCTTACTTGAGATTTCCATTCTGATATAAATACTGGGGAGGATTTTGGCTGACAATATCTGGGTCCTTGTCTTAACTGCAACTTTTTTTACTGTCTGAAATGTTTGAAATTCTAACGAAAATATACAAAGAGCTCTGATTTTACTACTCCTTATACAGCAAAGTCATTATATTTGCAGTTCCTTTAATTTTTCTTCCTCAATAATCCATGATATTCTTCATCATGAGACAAAATTTGTGATTGTGTGAGGAAGAAAAATAGAGATTTTTTAAAAATAGGGTTTTTTTTTACATGTTTGCTTTAGTTCTGGGAAACATGTGCATAACATGCAGGTGTGTTACACAGTTATATGTGTGCCGTGGTGGTTTGCTGCAGCTATTGACCCATCCCCTAAGTTCCCTCCCCTCTTTCCCCACCCCCCGGCAGACCCTGGTGTGTGATGTTCCCCTCACCGTGTCTGTGTGTTTTCATATTTCAACTCCAACTTATGAGTGAGAACATCTGCTGTTTAGTTTTTTGTTCCTGTGTTAATTTGCTGAGGATGGTTTCTTCCAGCTCTCATCCAAATACCTGCAAAGACATGATCTCATTCCTTTTTATGGCTGCATAGTTTTCTGTGGTGTATATATACCACATTTTCATTATCCAGTCTATCATTGATGGGCATTTGGGTTGGTTCCATAACTTTGCTATTGTAAATAGTGCTGCAATAAGCATACGTGTGCAGTGTCTTTATAGTAGAATGATTTATAATCCTTTGGGTATATACCCAGTAATGGGATTGTGGGGTCAAATAGTATCTCTGGTTCTAGATCTTTGAGGAATCACGACTGTCTTCCACAATGGTTGAACTAATTTACATTCCCACCAACAGTGTAAAAGCGTTCCTATTTCTCCACTGCCTCGCCAGCATCTATTGTTTCTTGACTTTTTAATAATCGTCATTCTAACTGGCATGAGATGGTGTCTCCTTGTGGTTTTGAGTTGCATTTCTCTAATGATCAGTGATGTCAAGCTTTTTTTCAGGTTTGTTGCCTGCACAAATGCCTTCTTTTGAGAAGTGTCTGTTCATATCCTTTGCCCACTTTTTGATGGGGTTATTTGATTTTTTTTCTTGTAAATTTGTTTAAGTCCCCAGTAGATGCTGGGTATTAGACCTTTATCAGATGGATAGATTGCAGAAATTTTCTCCCATTCTGTAGGTTGCCTGTTCACTCTGATGATAGCTTCTTTTGTTGTGCAGAAGCTCTTTAGTTTAATTAGATCTCATTTTTCAATTTTGACTTTTGTTGCAATTGCTTTTGGTGTTTTTGTCATGAAGTTTTTGTTCATGCCTATGTCCTGAATGGTATTACCTAGATTTTCTTCCAAGGTTTTTATGGTTTTGGGTTTTACATTTAAGTCTTTAATCCATCTTGAGTTAATTTTTGTCTGTGGTATAAGGAAGGGGTCCTGTTTCAGTTTTCTGCATATGGCTAGCCAGTTTCCCCAGCACCATTTATTGAATAGGAGATCCTTTCCCCTTTGCTTGTTTTTGTCAGGTTTATTGAAGATCACATGGTTGTAGATGTGTGGGGTTATTTCTGAGGTCTCTGTTCTTTTGGGTACCAGTATCATGCTGTTTTGGTTACTGTAGCCTTGTAGTATAGTTTGAAGTCAAGGAGTGTGATGCCTCCAACTTTGTTCTTTTTGCTTAGGATTGTCTGGGCTATATGGGGTCTTCTTTGATTCCATATGAAATTTAAAGTATTTTTTTTTTCTAATTCTGTGAAGAATGTCAATGGTAGTTTGAATAGCATGGATCTATAAATTACTTTGGGCAGTATGGGCATTTTCACAATATTGATTCTTCCTATCCATGAGCATGGACTATTTTTCCTTTTGTTTTTGTCCTCTCTTACTTCCTTGAGCAGTCATTTGTACTTCCCCTTGAAGAGGTCCTTCACATCTCTTGTTAGCTGTATTCCTAGGTATTTTGTTCTCTTTGTAGCAATTGTGAATGGAAGTTTATTCATGATTTGGCTCTCTGCTTGTCTATTGTTGGTGTAAAAGAATGCTTGTGATTTTTGCACATTGATTTTGTATTGTGAGACTTAGATGAAGTTGCTTATCAGCTTAAAGAATTTTGAGGCTGAGATGATGGGGTTTTCTAAATAAACAATCATGTCCTCTGTAAACAGAGACAATTTGACTTTCTCTCTTCCTATTTGAATACCTTCTATTTCTTTCTCTTGCCTGATTGTCCTGGCCAGAACTTCCAATACTATGTTGAATAGGAGTGGTGAGAGAGGGCATCCTTATCTTGTACCAGTTTTCAAAGGGAATGTTTCCAGCTTTTGCCTATTCAATATGATATTGGCTGTGCGTTTGTCATAAATAACTCATATGATTTTAAGATATGTTTCATCAACATCGGGTTTATTGATAATTTTTAACATGAAGGGATGCTGAATTTTATTGAAGGCCTTTTGTGCATCTATGGAGATGATCATGTGGTTTTTTGTCTTGGGTTCTGTTTATGTGATGGATTACATTTATTGATTTGTGTATGTTGAAGCAACCTTGCATGCCAGGGATGAAGCCGACTTCATTGTGGTGGATAAGTTTTTTGGTGTGCTGCTGGATTCAATTTGCCAGTATTTTATTAAGGATGTTCACATCGATGTTCATCAGGGATATTGGCCTGAAGTTTTCTTTTTTGTTGTGTCTCTGCCAGGTTTTGGAATCAGGATGATGGCTGGCTTCATAAAATGAATTGGGGAGGAGACCCTCCTTCTCAGTTGTTTGAAATAGTTTCAGAAGGAATAATACCAGCTCTTCTTTGTACCTGTGGTAGAATTCCAGAGACTGTGAATCCATCTGGTTCTGGGCTTTTTTTGTTTGGGAGGCTACTAATTACTGCTTCGATTTCAGAACTTGTTATTGGTCTATTCAGGGATTTGACTCTTTCTTGGTTTAGTCTTGGGAAGTTGTATGTACCCAGAAATTTAACCATTTTTTCAAGATATTCTAGTTTTTTTGCATAAAGGTGTTTATAGTATTCTCTGATGGTAGCTTGCATTTCTGTGGGGTCAGTGGTGATATCCCCTTTATCATTTTTTATTGAGCCTATTTGATTCTTGTCTCTTTTCTGTTTTATTAGCCTAGGTTGTGGTATATTTTGTTAATTTTTTTTTAACCAGTTTCTGGATTCACTGATTTTTTTGGAGGGTTTTTCATGTCTCTGTCTCCTTCAATTCTGCTCTGATCTTAGTTATTTCTTGTCTTCTGCTAGCTTTTGGATTAATTTGCTCTTGCTTCTCTAGCTCTTTTAATTGTGATGCTAGGGTGTTGATTTGAGATTTTTCTAGCTTTCTGTTGTGGGCGTTTAGTGCTATAAATTTTCCTCTTAATACTGCTTTATCTGTGTCCCACAGATTCTGGTACATTGTCTCTTTGTTCTCATTGGTTTCCAAGAACTTCCTGATTTCTGCCTTAATTTCCTTATTTACCCAGGATTCATTCAAGAGCAGGTCGTTCAGCTTCCATGTAAGTGTACGGTTTTGAGCAACTTTTCCAGGCCGGGTGCGGTGGCTCACACCTGTAATTCCAACACTTTGTGAGGCCAAAGCAGGTGGATCATGAGGTCAGGAGTTCAAGACCAGCCTGGCCAGGATGATGAAAGCCCATCCCTACTAAAAATATGAAAGTTAGCTAGGTGTGGTGGCAGGTGCCTGTAATCCCAGCTACTCAGGAGGCTGAGGCAGAGAATTGCTTGAACCTGGAGGTGGAGGCTGTAGTGAGCCGAGATCACGTCATTGCACTCCAGCTTGGGTGACACAGCAAGACTCTATCTCAAAAAAAAAAAAAAAAAAAGAAAAGAAAAAAGAAATCAGCTTTTCCTTGGTACCTAACTAGCAAGTAAAGTAGCTACTATTTCAATTTAATCATTTATCTGTTATTTTAGTGTAATGCATTTAGAAAAAAAAAAAACTCTGCTGATAGTAGAATTTTGTTGTTATTCTCATATAGGTAAAAATATATTACCTAGAGAAATAGGAATTATAAAATTTTTGAAAAGAAAATAATAATATTTCCTTTCTCTAGGTAATCTATTTTTACCTATATGAGAACAACAACAACAAAATAGCAAAATACAATGGAAAATATATACTGCAACACACATATTGTCTCATGGAGAGACACTGTTTCATAAAAAGAAGTATTTTCGTATCCTCTATTCTTTCTTGTCATGTTCTGCACAAAAGTGGGAAATAGCCATAAATGAAGTAAAAATAACTAAGTCATACTGTCATTGAACCCTTGGCTTTTACTCTATTATACCGTATTCTAATTACCCAAGCACACATTTTGTATTTAGGAACAAATCCAAAGAATGTATTAACTGTTGAAATTTCAAAGACAACTTGGTACTGTTTGGAATTTGGATAAAAAGACATTGAAAATACTGATTATGGTGATAGATGATGAAATTGTTATGGAATTAATATCCTGAAGAAATTTTGTCTGATATTATGGTAGCTTTGTTATATTTAATGATCCCACGGACAAAGTGACATTTGAAAGGGACAGTAATATTAGCTCTCAATAAAGGAGAGTAAGAAAATGTGTTTTGCTCAAAGTTATATCTTAAAAATAAGAACAAATCTAACACATTGATCAAACCCTCTCAAAGATGTCTGCATGTATTTATTAATTTATTGAAAAATTAGTTAATAAAACACATGCATTCTTTAAAACATAAACAGTACTATTGGTAGGAAAATAAAGGAGGTCTATGCAGCACAAGTGAATTTTATTTTACTTTTTTGAGACAGGGCCTTACCCTGTTGCTCAGGCTAAAGTACAGTGACATGATCATGGCTCGCTGCCAGGTCTCCCAGGGCTCGACCTCCCAGGGCTCCAGTGAGCCTTCCACCTGAATCTCCTAAGTAGCTGGGACCAAAGAAACATGCCACCATGCCCGGCTAGTTATTCTGTTTTTGGTAGAAACATGGTTTTGCCATATTTCCCAGGCTGGTCTCGAACTCCTGCCTCAAGTGATTCTCCCACTTTAGCCTCTTGGGATTACAGACCTGAGCCATGGTACCTGGCCCCTGGATTTTTAAATATATATTTTTTATAGACTGAATTTTAGAAGCGTAAGGAGGAAGGGTTGAGAATGAACAGAACAAGATTCAATGCTCTGATCTATCGTTTTATGATAAAAAGATAACAGACTTTTCTTAAGAGATTTCACGTATTTATTTTCAAATTACTTATGAAATCAACATTTATGTGAAAAAATAGAGCAGCATATGAAGCTCTATTGAGAAGTGGTTTTAGTTATTCTCAAGTTAAAGTGGCAATAAAGCAGTTTGAGAGCAATGATTCTCTAAGGAGTTCATTGCATAGTGTATGTCGGTAAGATTGATTTGAGAATTTAACATAAGGAAAAATCATAACTCTTGTCACCTCAGTAGTTTTCTAATAGTTTGGAAAGCAACTTATGCTTGGACCACAATAATAAAAAACTATTAATTTCATTCAAAAGAATTAGAAGCAACAAAACAAAATAGGAATAAGGAAGAAGACCTACTGAATGGGAATCTTTAAACAAACATATATCGGTATTACTTCTAAAGCAAAATCTCCAGAACTTAGCATAGTTATTTGCACTGTGTAAATGCTCAGATATGTGTTCTGTCCATTGAATTGAAGGCTATGTCTGGTTCCTGGTAAACATATGGTAATGTTAACAAATATAGGAAAGATCTTAGGGCAAAAAGACTACAGTAAGCATTGTGAAGAAGAAAAACTAGGAAGGATGGATGATGATTTATTAGGAAATGATCTACTCTGTTCAAATTAGTCAAAGTTTTTGTAGTCTTTGTTAGTGAATAAACCCCTAATTTTTTAATAAAAGGTACAGGTTTGATAAGAAAATTCAAAGCTAGAGCAAGCCTCGAATTCATGAGAAATCATAGGAATTGAAGAAGTTCAAAACCCTGGGAATGGAAAAATAAATACTGAGACAATATATTTGTAAAGGAGGTGAGAAGATGTTTTGGAGGATTCTCTGTGGCACCCCATACCAAAAGTCAAAAAATGATGTTAAATAAATATTTTTCTTCACAAAGGAAAGCAGTAACTAGTAGATTTTTTAAATCCATCTTATACTTTTGATTTGTCATTTGATTTTGAATCATCTTCTACTACAACTCCTGAGATGCCACTGTCCCACGACGTGGTTCATCAACTGGACCTGGTCATGTAGACCTAACAGGTATCCAAGTCGTGCCTCAGGCCCTGTCTATTTATAGGAAAGGCTGGGACAGTTGTCATCTTTTGGAGTCATCATTTCACTAGCCCAACGATGTCATACTTTCTTTAATATAAGTTTTGTAAGATGGCACTTGAGGAAAATCCTTTATGTAATGTATCTGGGTTTAGCAAGGCTCTTAACAATGTCTCTTGAGGTACCTTTTAAGATTAAGAGAGAAAACATAAATAGCAATACACTTTGGCAACTTCCAGCTCACACAGTCATATCCAAATAATTCTATTTATTCATGTGATGTGGAGGTTTCCAGTTTTGTTATTACAGTCCTTTGTATTTGATGATATTAATATTTGTATTTATAATTTTGTGCTATTTGGTTATATGCTGCTGCACTGCATTTGGTGAGTTTTAGGGACATGGATAATGGCCGCCTCTCAAGGAAATAAATTTTCTACCCTGACATTGCATAATTACATGTTATCAATATTAAATAGAAACCATTTTATTAGGCATAAGTTTGAATTCACTGGCATGTTACAACTCCTTCAACTCTAAATTGTCTTGATTCTATCAGCCTGTGATAATTTCCTCCTAATACCTCTTAAATTCATATATTTATAAGAGGACATAATAACTCAAAATTTAATTATTCAAGTGAATACACTTCACACTCTGGTTCTTGGTCAGGATTTTGGCGTAAATTTATCTAGGACTATTTTTCTTCTAACGATAGTTTGTGTAAAGGGGATATTTATCTTCAAAATCTTAGAGGTCAGAGAATATGTCTTACTATGGTTTAACAATGCAGGCATGGGCTTATTGTGGTCCATATTTCAGTATCTGGGTATTTGTATAACTTCCTAATGTGAAATGTTTCTCTATTCAATTTTTATGTTTATCTTTAGAGTGTATATACACTTTGTTTTATAAGAGTTTCACTAAATATACTTATTTTATTGATAGGCAATGTTGCAGTTGCATTTTTGTATTATAAGAGTATTGGTCCTTTGCTTTCATCATCTGACAACTTCTTATTGAAACCTCAAAATTATGATAATTCTGAAGAGGAGGAAAGAGTCATATCTTCAGTAATTTCAGTCTCAATGAGCTCAAACCCACCCACGTTGTATGAACTTGAAAAAATAACATTTACATTAAGTCACCGAAAGGTAAGCTGTTTTTCTGGTAGTTATTGGCTATGACTGTGATATAGTCAGAGAAGTGGACTCTTTGTTGTGTCACATAAATTATCTAAGTCCTTGAGTTTAAAAATACAGATTTGAAATTAAAAGAGTGAAGTGGTGTTAACTAATTTTTCTACAAAATATTTTTGTACTTTCAGGGCTCTTTAAACATTCTAATTAATACCAAACAATTTATTAATTTGATTATCTGGAAATGAGCAATATTTTTATTTTTTTTAAGTACACTGTTTATTTTGGAAATAGCCATAATTTAAAAGAATAAGTTATTAAAAAGTATCACAATCAGAGAAATAAATGAATGTCACTTGTGTAATAAGTGAGGTGTTTCATTAATACTTGTCATTTAAAATAATATTCGGAGGGATTCTGGTGTTGATTAAAAGAAAATCTTAGCAAAATTTACAATATTTCATAAAGAAATTAGTGGAGGCCATTTGACTCTTATTTTTTATTCTATTTCACTTTTCAGACTCATATAATTAAAGTTATACAATAAAAAAGCATGATTAGAACTAACCAACTATTTAGCTATTTTAGTTAAAAATAAATGGGGGTAACTCAGAATCACAGGTTATTTGCAACAATTTCACAATTGATGTTATCTTAAACTTTCAACAGAATTTCAGTTCTAGTACATGATTCAAGTACTTTCGAAGTTCCATTTGAAGTACCTTGAAGTTGAGCAATTATATTTGCATTATTATGGGAGTAAAAGGGCTTTCTAAAAAAAAATAATATATTTGCTTACACACAATACAAACATGCCACTGTTAAGTAAAAACATCAAAGGTGGAGAGAAACTAAATGTACAAAAAATGCAAGTAAATCATAGCTCAAACTTAAATAATGGTAAGCAGCATGTTGAGGGAAAAAGAAAATGTGAAATTGTTTAAGACTGGAAACCAAACTTAGACTTCTTTTTAAGATGCTAAATGCAAAATACACTTTTAATACTAGAAACCAAACACTGTTCTTTTACATGGTCTGATGGTTTTTCTGTTTTTTATCAGTAGAATGTTTTGACAGCTAAAGAGTTGCCAAGAACAACCCACTTCACCAACCCCTGTTTGACAAAGACACAAAACAAAACGCATATTTAAACAAAAACTCTTCACAGTAATTCCTGGGAAAACTTAATTGCTCTTATCTGGCTTTCTGCTCAAATGTATTTTCCATTCAAAGTAATGACTGTTATGAAATTTCACCACTCTTCTCTGACAATAGACCTACTTAGTCTCTAGTTCCCTCTCTCTGAGAATGAAATTTTGGTCCCATTTTTTCACCTGAGAAAATAAAAACTATCTCTTAAGTAATATGTTCAGTGTCCTGGTTCCCTGATAATTTATCTGTGATTTGACTGATTGATACATACTTCTACAGTACCTCAGAAGAATAGTAACACTAATTATAGTAATATTAACAATTATCATAGCAATCAATAATTACATGGTGCTTAGATTAGAAACCAGTCAGTATTCTAAGTTTTTTACAAAAAACAAACAAACAAACAAACAAAAAAATCATTTAATGCTTACAAAAGCCATATGAAGTACATACTATTATTACTATTTTATAGATGAGGAAACTGAGCCTGTGAGATTAAATAATTTGCTCATGGTCACTCAACAATTAACTGATAGAAAAAGGTTTCAGGCCCCTGCAGCCTTCCTCCAGAGTCCATGCTCTCAAAAACTATGATACTCCTGACCAGTTTGGCCCACTACATCCATCCCAGTCTACTTCCCAAGAAATTATGCTCCATCCACCATCTCATCTTTCCTGGGTCTCTCCACATTGGTGTCAGTGTCTCAATTAATAAAAAGACTCAAGCCTCCGCCTCATAAAAAAATAAAACCATACCCCTTTGGTACTGGATCATCTTCAACCAAAAAACCAAAATATAATAACTCCTCTTATCTTAAGCTTCTAAAAAGTAGATGTAATCTACTGACTTCCATCTATGGAAGATTCAGATTTAGTTTTCTTACACATATGTTCTGCTGTGATATACACACTCCCTCAACCATCCATCCACTCATGTGTACCTCCAATTTTTGGTTAAATCGGTTTTCATTGTTTATAATACTATAAATTAGTGTGTTATTCACAACTGAATCATGGAGTTCAGTCATTTTCCTGGTGTTAATTCATTTATTTTCATTTGCTTATATTTCTATTTATCCATTGTTAATTTGTCTCCAAAATATTTGACAGAATTATAAATCTCTTTTCAAAACATTCGAACAAGTAAGCTTATCTATCAGCCAGTTTGTTGTCTTGGAGACATCCTTCCCAAGGCTCTGTAGCCTTGATGCTGTCTGGATGATCTACCCCTGGGTCATTTATCAGCCTGGGCATGCCTTCCCTTCCCCCCATCATTTTCACATATCATTCACTATTCACCTCACTCCTCTCCTGTGTCAGATGCCATGTTTCCTCCAGCAATGTCTTCTTTCTTAGTTTATATATGTATTTTGGTGACATATTCTCCAGTGGCTGCTTGAGAGAGGAAACAGAGAAGGTCAATTTTTTAAGCTCTTGCATTATTAGGTTTTATATAAATATACAAATATATACACACACACAAATATATTTTTCTACCTTACCCCTATACTTGTTAGATAAATACCATGTACAGAGTTACGTTTTTTTCTCAGATCTTTCTACACCTTGTTCATATGTCTTCCAGCTTTCAAGGGTAACATGGAGAAGTTGAATGCAATTAATTATTTTAATTAAAATGTATTGTCTTTTGAATGCAATCAGTCTCTTTCTCTTTATCTCTCTCTTAAAGTTTTGGAATCTTTATTCTTGGTATTCCAAAATCTTTCAGATGTACTTTGGTGTGAATCTTCCTTCATTAATTGCAGTAAACATCTTGTGAGTCTGTTCAGTCTGAAAATGTATGGTCTTCAGCTTTAGGGAATTTTCTACAATGATTTCTCTGGTAATCTATCCCTGTCCAGTATCTCTGCTCTCTTTTTCTGTTCCTCTTAGTATGTATTAGACTTCCCAGCTGAGTTTCTAATATTTGGAGTTTTTAAACTTTTTCATTCCTATTTTTAATTTTTCTCGTAACTTTTTAAATTTTTACTTTATACTTTATTTTCACTGAGAAACTTTATTTTTTCAATCCTGATTTTATTTAATGGGTATAGTATCTCATCTCTCTGAGATATTATTTACATATTTTTTAAAAAAACTCTTTTCTGCTCCCTGCATCATCTCGCTCTTGACTTTCTTTGTTTGGATTGTTCACCGTAGTTCCCTGTCTTTCTTGTTGGAGCTTGTCCTCAGATGTCTGGGGGTTCGTGACCACCCATTCCCATTTAATAATGAGACACGGTGTGCACTCCTGGCCTTGTGGCAGTGGTGTGCTTCACTAGAGTTTTCATCAGGCAGGCTCCTGGCCACGGTATTGGAAGATCCTGAATGTCAGTATCCAAAAGCAGTTTATTTTTGGCCAATCAGTTTCTCAGGAAGAAACGTTCTTCCTTTCCTATCTACTCTAGACAGAAGTCTGGTTGGAAGGATTAGGAAAATTAAGAAAATGTGATGGGACATGGTGGAAGATCAGTGTGTAAACAGACCCTCACTTAAGTCTGTTTTTGAATGGTACGCATAATCACAGCTTAGTCTGGCTCCTCAATTCTACAGTCCCTCTGCTTTCTCTAGAATTAGGCACTGCCCAGGCTCTTTTTGAGGCACTAAAAGAAGTTCAGTTTTCTTCATATAGTTTGACCTTCTTGACAAACTTCTAGCAATCTCTCCAATTTTAACTCAATTATCTTTCCAGACAAACTCACACTGTTTTTGTCAGTGCTCCAACTATTGACCTAAGGGTTATATTTAGCATCTATTCCATTAAAACAATTATCTTATTGTATTTAAATCGTCTGAGTTTCTATCATCCTTGAAGAGCTGATACTTTATCTTTTTGATTGATAATCCTCACTCTTTGAACAGTATATATCATACATTTGACACTCAAGGTACATTTTCTTTAATAAATAGTTGTCTGAAAATTGGAATTTGTTTCTATAGTACTCCATTTATCAATGTTTAGTCTTAAATACACCTTAAAATAACATGTTTTGGCCTCTTAACATAATATAGCATTTATCTCAGAGAGCGTTTATGAGGGTTGAACTAAACAAAGGAAGAAAGCAAGCACCTAGTTAAGTGTAAATTGTTATATAACTGGAAATAGCTTTTATTTCTACAAGTTCAACATTTTATTGATAAATTATTATTAAACCATACATTAAGTGTGCTGTTATGATTAGTTAATATAAAAGTATGATAAGAACTCCACCATTTATTGAATAACTATCACACTGTCTGTGTGTCATCTGTCTCATGTCTGTATCTGATCTTGTCTTCACTATTCTTTACCTCACATACTGTGCTCTAACTTAACTGGCTTCTACAAGTTTCTGGAATGCCTCTGGTCAGTCTCACTTCAGAGCTTGTCCATTTGCATTTCCAACTGTTTGGAACCCTCTGTTCCCAAGTCTGTTGGACGCCCCCCCTTCACTTCATTGAAGTACCTGCTTAGACATAATCTAGGAGACATCCCCTTGGACAACCCTCCATATCACTTTCTTTCTTCTTATCCAGGGTTACTTTTCTCATTGAGTAATTTTTCATCTCTAACTAGAATGTAATGTCAACAATGCAAACAGTTTTTTCCCTTTTGTTCACTGTTGTATTTTTAGTACCTGGATTAGTGACAAATATCTAGTCAATACTCAACAAACATGTACTGAATGAACATGCAAATGAAAATTATGCACTGTGGTAAATGACATATGAATAATTTAATAAAAATTATCACGTTTGTGAGACAAAATTGATGAAATATAGCATTGTTGCAATATAAATTTCCATTCTTCCACATAGCCGCCTTTATTTTTTATAATTTGTTTTGTGTTTCACTGTTAAGGCATTGTTTCAATCACATTAATGGTATTTTAAGTATGGCAAAAGCAATACTATGTATATAACTTTTTATCTTTTTTTCATCAGTAAAATATCTTTTTTTCAGATCACAGATAGGTATAAGAGTCTATGTGCATTTTGGAATTACTCACCTGATACCATGAATGGCACCTGGTCTTCAGAGGGCTGTGAGCTGACATACTCAAATGAGACCCACACCTCATGCCGCTGTAATCACATGACACATTTTGCAATTTTGATGTCCTCTGGGCCTTCCATTGTAAGAGAACTTTCCCCTTCATATTTACAAATGTTCCTTTTTCTGTTTTTATCCATGTTATTCAAGAGAATATTTATTTTTTTATATATTTTTCTTGGGTTTAGATAGCACATTTAGTATAAGAGACAAAACCCCAACGGGATCTTTCTTTCTGTCTGTTTTCCTACCTACCTTCTAGAACATATTTAGTATGCATTTAAGATTATTTCTAGTCTGAGACTTATCTACTCTGTAATATCTGGTAGATTACATATAAAATTAGTTTGTAATGCTGCTTTCAAGAGCCATTTGCCCATTTTAATGTATCATGGAATTTAGAGGCACTTTTTTGTGATGACAATTTATTTTCATACGTGACAAAGCTCCTGAAAATATTTGACAGTTGGCCAATAAGTATTAGCACACTTATAACTAACATCATATTTTTAGCAATGTAGAACCCCACATGATTTTTAAACATGAAGAATCTCTCTAAGGTGAATGGTTTCATGATATGTATTTTGCTTTTGAAATATCTTTCTTACTTTGTATATTTATCACATAATTTCTTATTTTATAGCTCTGTGCTAGCATCTCAATTATATTTATTTATAATCTATCATTAAATATATAAAGTAATCAAATAAATCTACATAAACATAATGTCAGTCCTAACGACGATTTTCCTGAAGTTAAGCAAATAAACATCTATTCTTTATATAAACATAAGTATTCGTCTAGTTAGGATAAAACCAACATTATATATTTTAAAGTTTCTGAACAATATTGCTTGATAATCCTTATATTCAGCATTGCTAACACCTTTGTTTCACGTGTTTTAGATGAATCACTGCATAGACATAAGACTTAGTCTTACCACTGATAAATCTGTTTTAATTAACCATTTTCACATTACAATAATGGATTGCCTTTCTAGTGTAATGAAATTAATGACGATAACATTGCTAAACCATGTACTAATACTAATACTATGCCTAGAAAAAAATCACCAATTACAGAACTGTTAAAGTGCTACATGATTTACATCAGATTTATGTGGATATTGAGGATTTTCAAAAGTACAAAATTTTTCTCATCTAAATGCACATTTATAGTTTTACATTTTATGAACATTTTGATTAATGTTTCACCAAAAAAGGAAGTTCATTATATGTTGTAGTTCCTTTGACAAGTTACTGAGTTATTCTTTTAACAGCTTTATTATTATTTTCCCTTAGGGTATTAAAGATTATAATATTCTTACAAGGATCACTCAACTAGGAATAATTATTTCACTGATTTGTCTTGCCATATGCATTTTTACCTTCTGGTTCTTCAGTGAAATTCAAAGCACCAGGACAACTATTCACAAAAATCTTTGTTGTAGCCTATTTCTTGCTGAACTTGTTTTTCTTGTTGGGATCAATACAAATACTAATAAGGTATGTAGGCATCCTAATCTCTATTTTTGTCCTATGATACGTGTACTTTCTTAAATGTGTATGTCATAGAAACATTAATTGTAATTTAGGGTTTAATGGGGCAGACATACTCTATAATTTGTGCTTCAGCTATCCTTCTAAGTTTGATAATGCTAACACAGCTAAGCAAACTACTTATTGAGTCCATTCAGCAAAAATGGTCCTCATTATGATGAATTATTGGGACAAATTAAAACTTTGCAACAAACTGAATAAATACTTTTTTTGTTGTTCTGTTTTGTTTTTAAATGGACGCTAAACAAAGACCAAGGACAGAGAGAATTAGAAATAAAGTTTATCTTAGAATGGGGACTGACCATAAATGCAGTCACAGTTTATAGGTTGAAATGTGATAAATTGGTTTTACCTAGTTTCTTTTCTAACTTCTCATTTCCCAACATTATTGATTTTGAACCATTCGAACCTTCCCAAATGGTTTCATATTGTATTGGTCTGAGTCCTCCTAGAAGCAGGTGTTAAGATGAGGTTAAACATGCAATAGATTTATTAAGGGAATTGTTGGCGAGAGCAAATGGGAAGAGAGAGGCTTAGAAAGCTATCAGGCCAAGATTCAGGTATGATCCTGAGGGAAGACAAGAAGAGTGCGGGCAAGGGCACAGTAATGGCAGTTCTAAGGAAAAGTCAGGCAAAGGTGTAAGAGATACTCTTGGAAGTCTTGAGCCAAAGTCCGGTCAGGGAATCTTTTGTTCCCTCAGGGAGCGAGGAATCCGTTTGTAGGAGGAATCCTTTGGTTCTCACAGCAGTAACCCTACTGTGCTTCGTTCATTTGGGCTGCGCCAGCCTATGGAGAAGTGGGAAGAGCAATGGATCCTACAGCTGCAGCTGGACAAGCCTTAGGTAGTTGGCACCCTTGGAGTTGGATATTGGGAGAAGGTATTCTCATTGACCACAAAAGGTGAATGCCTCCATATTTTTCCTTTAGAGATCTTTCAAGGGATGAAAGAACAATTCAGTAGCAGTTTTCTTCTTGAAAGTAGGAATGGAAGAGTGTTTAATTTAAATAGTGATACACGGACTGAAGGTCTTATTGTTTTATGTTTTACAGTGGGTAGTCGTAACACGTTCATTTGTTCTCGCGCCACTACTACAATGGGCCGGTTCTCTTTCAGTTACTTCCCACCTTATCTTACCCCATATACCGTTTTACAGGTGTTTACTTCAATACTTTTTCTATTATTTGTTCCATTCAGTCAATCTTAAATCCACTTCCTTCGCTAGTGATTTCAATTTTAATTGCCAATGATTCTTTTGTTCCCCGCTTATAGAGGTACTTTAAACATATTTTAGTATATGTGTTAATCTTTTGATTATGGTTTGTGTTTTTTAAAATATGGGATAGTATAAGTTATGTATTATGTTATCTCATCCATTGATTATACCTTTAGCTTTACTAGTAATGGGAAGTATTATCTTCTTTTTTGTATTTTTATAGGCCTACTTTAGTTCTAGATGGAAATAACCTGAACAGGAAGGTTGAGTGAAAGCATTCTCAAATTTACATGTATCTTAACAGTTTAACGTATGTCTTATGGTTTGATGAATATAGTTATTAATCGTATTTGTAATTTTTTGTCACCTAAGATATTTATTTTATTTTGTTTAGCAGAGTATTGTAAGTCATTTTCATTCTTCGAGCATGAATAAAGGAAAAGAGAGGTATCTCCAAAACAGAAATCAACTTAAATCTTAACATATTCACCAAGATACCATGGTTTACGTGTGAATAATCCACAATTTATCACATGACATAAACATATAAAAGTTATAAACCTGTGGACAAAAACAGTAACTTAGTTCTATCACAAGATTAGTTAATATTTCACGTTGATGAAGCACAGTTGTTTTCCTAAATCAGCTAGAACTAGTACATCTTTAAGAACTGACATGATATTTTAATATGATTCATTAAAATATGTGGCATACTTTATAGTATAAAGAAAGTTGTGATTTACAGCACAAGTTGAGATTGTGTGTTATGATAATTTTAAAGCAAACACTGCCAATGTTTTTTTTTTCTTTGATTTCTAGCTCTTCTGTTCAATCATTGCCGGACTGCTACACTACTTCTTTTTAGCTGCTTTTGCATGGATGTGCATTGAAGGCATACATCTCTATCTCATTGTTGTGGGAGTCATCTACAACAAGGGATTTTTGCACAAGAATTTTTATATCTTTGGCTATCTAAGCCCAGCCGTGGTAGTTGGATTTTCAGCAGCACTAGGATACAGATACTATGGCACAACCAAAGTGTAAGTTAAAATGATTTCATGGGCATTTGAAACACAATTTTGAATGTTCTTTGCATATCTTTGATAATTTTGCTATGTTAAAGTACATGCAAACATGTTTATAGATTAATCTTTTATTTACTTTTCAGATGTTGGCTTAGCACAGAAAACAACTTTATTTGGAGTTTTATAGGACCAGCATGCCTAATCATTCTTGTATGTATATATAAAATTGTTAATACAATTCAAAAAAGTGATGATTATAGGGTGCTTAAAATTTCCAGCAATAAGGTGTTACTTTTTTAAAAAAGAATTTGAATGTTTTACAGTATATCACTTATCAGCATTTTACATATATTGTAATTGAAAAATACATGTATATCTTGTAAATTCAAAGCTATTACAATTCATTTGCCCCTCTTGATGGAGGATAGATGTCTGCATAACAAAGAGGAAAAAGCATTTTTCACTTATCAGTAATATCTTGGCATACTTCAACACAGAGAGTGTGCCAACCAGCTGATAATCTGGCATTTTAGATGTTTACGTTATTTAATCTTTTATCGAAGATCGGTCATCTTTGAAGATTAGACTGTCATCTTTATAGTTTTATCATTTTTATGTACCCTGTCATCATAAAGTGATTTTAAACTAAATTGCAACATCAGAGACAAGAACTCACTATTTCTTATGAACAGACAAGTCATATATTGAGATAGTCCTATTTCAGCAAGGAAGAGGGCCTTTTAATTCTTATTGGAAGTGGTTTCAAACCTACAAATTTGGCAGGTATTATATGTTCCATTATAAATAAAGACATTTTTATATGTCTGAAGAGCATTTCTAAGTGCTGAAAGTTTTCAACAGTCTTTCTGAATATAATAGTCTGTCAATGAATCTGGGAGGTCTGACAAGACTCTAGAGTGGAATGAATTGTCAGTAGAGAAGTTATGGCAATATTTTGGACAACTTTGTTCCATATATGTTGACCATAGGCTAGTCATCTTTTTGAATTTCTTTTTCTCTCTTCCTCTTTCCTTTGAGTTTTTTATGGTTATGAGCGTACTGCTAAATGGAGAAAGACCTGAAATGCAAAGCAGAGAATTTTCATCAAGCTTTATTTTGCGATGGTGTGGGTGAAGTCAAGTGCATTCATAAACTCTACTTTCTACTCATCACAAAAACTAATTTATAATTCTCACAATAAATCAAACAATATTTTATAAAAGTAAAGCCAAGGGCCAGATTTAAGCTAAAACAATTTGAGTTAATTTATTATAGCTCCAAAATTTCCAACCCACATAAGAATATAAAATGGTGTCCCACTCACATATTTTTATGGATTGCTCTGATGTGAGTATTTCATGTGATGACATATTCTGCATATCCTAATTTTACTGATTTCCTCACCATAGGAAAATCCATCTTTGCCATTGTTTTGTACAAGTCAAAGGTCCATGGAGCAATGACTCTTACTGTTTGGATAAAAAGTAGCATGACAGAAATTATCCTGAAACAACAAAAACAGGAGCATACTTCTCTAAAATAAGACAGGGGACGTGTTCTCTGACATAGTTTTTAACAGTTGCTTATGTAAGGCTAATTTGGATTATTTTATAGTAAGATACAGAGAATTTAGATGAAATTATTTAAAAATGAGTCCTGTAAACTTTTCTAGAGGTCTAAATGAACACTGTCATATTGTTCTAGTCTGGAGTTAATGAGCCAATTTATCTCCCATACAGTCTCTGTATGATAATCATTTCCAGGTTAACCAGAGGGTCAGGCTGCTTAAAACATGAGCTAGGCCTCTCAGTTTTACTCTAAAATTAAATATTTCTCATCTTTTATGATATCTTTTTTAAATACTAAGAAATTCTTAGATAATTATTGAATCAAAGTGAATTATTTTTCTCCAGTTATCTTTGTTCTTCTGTGCTAATGCTTGCATATTGCTATTATTATTAAGTTGTGTAACACAACGTTAGATGACATTTTTTCTGTTGCCCATGAATAGTATCTAGCCCAAGGATACAGGCAAAGAGATATTGAACACCAAACATATAAAAAAGAACCACTGATAGTTTAGGCCTGACTCTTCCCAAGGGTCACACAATTAAAGAAAAGGACCAGCTATAGCCCCGTGAGAGGACTGGGGAAGGGAGCTCAGTGGGTGATGTCTCAGAGTTACATGCTTGGCCTTTAGGGTAGGACAATGTTCTCCATTAGAAGTTTTTCTTTTATCTACCAATAAGAAAAAATGACGGTGTTTCCAGCCCCCTGAAGACAAGATGTGGAGGAATACTCAAAAAAGTTTGCAGAGCATGGAATCAAAATAGTAAGAGTAAAATTATCATCCTGGTCTCACATTGCTAGAATGACTGTAGAATTTTCATGGTCCCTGGGATATAAGAATACCAGATTATGACGAGCTTTTTTTATGAGAATTTGGCATATATCCCCTGATTTCGAGCCAAATGTGAACCTAGAGGACTAGCACCTGTTTTGTATGGAGTTTCCTGCAGGCAATGTGCTTACTGGATTATTCTTCAACAGCAGGGACAGAAAAGATTATTATACAGTGTCCCTAGTAATAAAATGATGGGGCAAAACACAAAGACTTGAGCTATTCTATGCACAGATAAGTTGGAGAAATGAAAGAAGTTGCAGGGCTGCCTAGGTCCATGTGAAGATATGTACAATGAAGAGAATGAGTTGAATGGAGATATGGATATTCGTCTTTGACAAATAGAAGAGACCAAGATGGAAATGAAATACTGTGATCACCAAGTAATATATACATACCATCAAAGTGAAGACTGTCTCTTAAGCCAAGACTAGCCAATGGTAATAAGAACTAGACTAAACCGAAATGATATCATGCAGCTCCCCATAACAACAGGTGGTCAGATCCTTCTACCCTCCAAGCGGCAGAGTTGTGGAGCCTTAGCAGTAGAAGACCAGTATCTCAGATCCAGTCATGCGCCCCTACTCAAACACATATGCTCCAAGTATCTGGAAAGGAAAAAGAAGTAAACACCAAATTTTAAAAAATCTAAAATTACTAAAAGCTATGGCATGTAAATTATGACAACCCTGAATAAAAAAAAAAAAAAAAAAACGTAACTTTTATGTCACAGAAAAAATCTCTACTTCACCAAGGTAGGGATCCTTTTTAAATGGAGTTCAGGTGTTCAAAACTGATCACCACTTGCCATTTTGGGGATAACAACGACCTCCTGATTAGGAGTTTGTCATCCTATGCTTTAGAATATTCTGCTAGGTGAAGACCCAAACCGTATGATTAAGTTCACCATGTTAATTGGGTGCTCTGGGCATGATAGAAAGACAAAGAAAATGTAAGAAATATCTTCTGCCCACTACAGTATGAATGAGAGGAAAAAAGACAACACGCATGATAAAGAAAAGTATGTAATTACATATAAGTGATACTGGTGAGATGTGAAGAGATCAGTATATACATCATAGTCATTCAATAATCTTCATTGAGATATAGGACCTTGTTTGTGGATGTGACAAGAAGCAGGTTCTACTTTATATGATTGCGAAAGGTCAGAGGACTGCAAGTGTGAACTAAAGCAAGCAGCCCTTGTAAGCATGCCAGATTCCTTTTGAGGGAGAACAAGGGCAAAACAAGAAGTAGTTAGCATTGTAAACCAGGCAACACCAGGCATCAACTGAAGTGTCATCATTATTCACAGTATTCAAGAATAATCTTTTTAAAATAGATTAATCACTTTTTAGTCCAGATCGTCATTAACTACTAAACAAATTTTTACCTCCACAAATAAACTCATCCATTTCTTCTCCTCCATGTTTATAGTCAGGCCCTTGCTATACCTCACTAGGATGCTAGTATTCAGAACAAAAATAAGAGGTTTTATTTTAATTTATAATTTATTTTATTTTATTTAACTTTCAAGTTCAAGGGTACACGTGCAGATTTGTTATATAAGTAAACTTGTGTCATGGGGGTTTGTTGTATGGACTATTTCATCATGCAGGTATTAAGCCTAGAACCCATTAGTGATTTTGCCTGATCTTCTCCATCCTTCCATCTTCTACCCTCAAGTAGGCTCCAATGTCTGTTGTTCCCATCTTTGTGTCCATGTGATCTCATCATTTGGCTTCCACTTATTAGTGAGAGCATGTGGTATTTGGTTTTCTGTTCCTGCATTAGTTTGCAAAGGATAAAGGCCTCCAGTTCCATCCACGACCCTGCAAAGGACACGAACTCATTCTTTTTATGACTGCACAGTATTCCATGCTGTATATGTACCACATTTTCATTATTCAGTCTACCACTGATGGGCATTTAGTTTATACTGTGTCTTTGCTATTGTGAATAGTGCTGCAGTGAACATGTGTCTTTATGATGGAACAATTTATATTCCTTTGGGTATATACCCAGTAATGGGATTACTGGGTCAAATGGTAGTTCTGTTTTCAGGTCTTTGAGGAATCACCACCATGTCTTTCACAATGGTTGAACTAATTTATACTCCCACCAACAGTGTATAACCATTCCTTTTTCTCCCCAACTTCACCAGCATCTGTAATTTTTTCACCTTTAATAATAGGCATTCTGATTGGTGTGAGATGATATCTCATTGTGGTTTCGATATGCATTGCTCTTGTAATTAGTAACAGTGAACATTTTTTCATATGCTTGTTGGCCGTGTTTATGTCTCCTTTTGAGTAGTGTCTCTTCATGTCCCTTGCCCACATTTTAATGGGGTTGTTTGGTTTTTTTCTTCTAAATTTGTTTAAGTTCCTCATAGGTTCTGAAATTAGACTTTTGCCAGATGTATAATTTGCAAATATTTTCTTCCATTCCATAGGTTTTCTGTTTGCTCTGTTGATAGTTTGTTTTGCTGTGCAGAAGCTTTTTAGCTTAATTAGTTCCCATTTGCCAATTTTTTAAAAGTGTAGGGGTGCCTGACTTACCCTGGCCTGGCATAGCCTTAGGTCCTGTTTATAATTTGGTATCATATTGCCACAGAGTCTGTTCTGGCAGTTTTATGACCTTCTGTTTTAACATTAATGCAGTCAGCTGTTGTTTCTAAACTAGCAATCCCCAACTTTTTGGCACAAGGGACCAGTTTTGTGGAAGACAATTTTTCCACAGATTGTTGGGGACGGGTAATTGGCATTAGATTCTCATAAGGAGCAGGTAGCTTAGATCCCTTGCATGC